TAGATAAGTTTGGAAAGTGTATTCATACTTATAGATAGGATATTGATATATTACTTTCAAAATTTATTTCAGAAAAAATTCTATTGGGATGTTTCTATTAGTGAAAGTGAAGTGAAGAGACACTGGTTGGTCAAGGCCGCTATAAAATACAGAAATTTTATTTCTAAAATAAAAGGGGGAGGAGTTAGGCCAGGTTTTGTACCTGAGCATGTTTGGGAAAGATGGACACAACTTTGGGGAAGTAATGAGTCCAAGAAAAAGTCAAAAACAAATGCAAAGAATCGTCGTGGTGGCCGTGAAGTTGCTGCTGGGACTCACACAGGTGGCTCTATCTCAATTGGAGAGCATCGCAAGAAACTTGTAAGTATATATTTCACAAATTATATAAGTAACATCTTTAGGTTGTCTGATATATACACTTGTATCTAAATACACATTATGCAATCGATATTTTTGTATCTAAAAAGTGATTTTTCTTTTGTAAAGGCTATTGAAAAGGGTCGAGATCCAACACCAAGTGAGTTACATTTACACGTCCATACGCATGGTCATGATGGTAAATCTTTTGTTGGCGAACGCTCTCGAATTGTCCATGTAAGTCCAAAACTTTGAAACCTATCAGAATATATACATGTCATTTCTTATTAGAAGGGAAAACTTGGCTGAAAATGAACAGTAATTTAGTTTCATGGTTGGATATTGTTATCTTGCTGCTCAACTGATGTGTGGACTGTTTACTTCTTGATCTTTGTAATTCGTTCAGATGTTAGAAATTTTTGAAAGTGTTTCGACTTATTATTAGACTGTAAATCAGTGGTGTATCTTGTTTGCTATTCATGTTGTTTGCTTGCCTGTTGTCTCCTTGTAAGTCCTCTTATTTCACTGTTTTGGTTGGCTGTGAAAGTCGTGGTTCAGTCATGAAGTCCGAAATCATTTTCTATAGGAAAGCATAAATGGTCGTACATGCCCTGTTATCCTACATTACGAGTTATTTGTTTCCAGTTTGCTGTAACTAAGAAGTTGAGTTTAAACGAGTCAAAAAGCTACATGTTTCAAGTTGCTGAAGTATTATTTTGTGTTGTTTTCTTTGTTAAAGTTCCTTCCATTCTAACTAGGCGATTGTTTGTTGTGTTCATCATCCTTACCCTTAAGTCGAGATAAGACAAAATTTTAGTTTCACTAAGTATCACATAGGCAGGGCATATAGAGAAACAGCTGATGCCTTGCCACTGAGAGTGCTGAAGAGTAGCTTGTACATTGCAGCTGTTGTAGCATCCCCAAGTCTTTGAACAATCACATCTATGCATACCTGCATAGACACGTTGGCATACCACAAAAAGAAACAATAGAATCATTCTACTGCTAGGGATATTCAAGTGACACTTATAACCACAACAATCCTTTCAATTGTCATGAAACACTTGTGCAGACATAATAAAATAATGCTTAACCTTCTAGCTTTGCTATATCCTATCAAAAAGATTTTTAAAATTGGAAATCAAGATTTGCTACAGACAGGATATTCACAATTCAAGCTGCTGCTAATATGTAAGATGGAACAATGATAATCTTTTAGGTCACTATTTTTGTAACATACCTTTGCTTTATACTTCTCGTCCTGTGAGTATCACATAGCATTAATGCTGATGAATGGCCTGCACATCTTTTTTCTTTGCTAATATAGAATGATGTATGTCTTCCTTATACATCAAGTCAGTTACAATGTTGATGAATGGCCTGCAGAAATATAGAATGATGTTACGGTTAGTTATGTACTCACGAAAATGTCCTGAGCAGCTTTGGGTATTCCCAATATAAGAACTATTATCCAAGGTTAAATTAGACATACAACATTTCTGCCTTTCCCTTCCATTATAAATTTATTCCTAATCTTTAATGTCTTCTCTCTATCTCAATTTATTACAGGAAAAATATGAAGAAATATTACGGGAAAAAACAACCTCTCAATTTGATATTGATCAATGTGAAGCATACTACCAAGCTGCCGGGGGAGAAAAGAAGAAAAGAATATACGGTCTTGGATCTGAAGCAAAAACTTACTACGGGCAGAATCTTTGTGCCTCATCATCTGTAGCAACTTCAGTTTCTCAATCAACAACGACAAGAAATATGGATGTGTTTGTGAAGGAAATGATTCCTGCCCTTACTACTCATTTTCTTCCGGTTATTATGGAGCGGCTACAGCAAGTGGTTACTCCCATTGACAATCCATCACTTGTGACACCCATGGTACCTCCTCCTGCTGCTACTAATGAGGACGAGGTTGATCCCTTAGTTTCAAGTGATGAGGGTATCCCTTAATTAGTCTCCTTTAGCTTTAATTTTTGGATGTTTGTGTTTTTGAAAAGTACAAATTGTCTGATAACAATAGTTGATGACTTGCTTTTGATGTTTTGCAGTGAAAGTATGTGATTAGGATTTTGCTATCTACAGATTTTGAACCCTCTAAATAATATTTTATATGAATGTTTGTTATTTTAAGAGGTATTTAGTAATTGTTATTAATTTATTTCAGCAATGTATATTTAAAATAAAAAAATGAAATTATTTTACAAGAAATTTTTTAGCTACAAATTTAATGACGATTTGGTCGTTGCTATGATAAAATTTTGGCGACGGATTAGCAACGGAACATTTTAGTGGCAAATATGCTGGCTTAAATAACAAAATATTTTGTGACGGATTAGTGACAGAAATTCCGACGCGAATTTATTAACATTTTAGTGGCAAATATGCTGGCTCAAATAGTAGAATATTTTGTGACAGATTAATGACAGAAATTTCATCGCGAATTTATTTGAAATGACGAAATTAATTATGGAATTAGCAACGAACTATATAAGTATAACGACGGAATAGTCCGTCACTAAAGTTGCGACGGAATAATTTGTCGTCGCTAAGAGATTACTAACGAGCGAAATACTAACAGCCCAAAATCCGTCGCAAATCCGGTTTAGCGACGGAATACCATAGATTAGCGACGGATTTCGTCAGTCGCTAAATGCTATTTTTTTTGTAGTGTAATATACATTACACCACCAGCCTCGTCTCTATAGCCGTCACCACTTTAATTTCAGTACCACTACCTCCACTACAATCAATTGTACTATCAACAAACTTCGTCATCACAACTATCACCACCGCCAACTACCACCATACATTCTTCTATCACCACCACCAACACTGCCATCTTCACTACTACTATTAGCAACTAACACCACTGTGGTCAATCTTTACTAGCAATCATCCCCATCATCATAAATAGCACAACGCCAATTAGCATAAACACATCATCAACCACAATACATTCTTCAGCCACCATCATCAAGACCACCAACTTTTAACATCAACAAACTTTACCATTACAACCATCAACACCACTACCAATCACTATCATTATGACAAACACTACAACACCAATCATCTCCACCATAACAACTATCGTCACCATCATTACTAGCCACTAACAACTATTACGATTACCACCACTACTACAAACTATCTCCACCATCGATCAATAGCAAGTATAAGTGTTTCTTTTTTTTTCATCAAACAATGATTAAATTTTATTAACTTTAATGCTTAATTAATTTTATTTAAACTATATATTTATTATATATATGTAGATATAAGTAAACTATGTACATTCAGATGTTGAAAACAAACCGTCTTAATAATTCAGTGTTCAGATTTAGAGACAAGATCTTAATCATTTAGACGTGCATTCAAATTCAGACGTCTAAATCTTAATGAAAATCAAATATGAGTAAAAGTGTAGTAATGAATTAATATGAATCAAAATAAATGAAAAATAATAATATCTTAAAAATTAAATATATTTTATAAACATGAGAGTCAACCAATTTTAACTTTTCCTACACAAAATCACATAAAACTAACAAAAGCAGTAAAAAGTAATAGGCAACATGTAAATAGTAATCAACATAACAAAATAATAAAAATAACCAAATATATATGACAAAGTAACAACATATATAACTAATTCAAAATTCTAGAAAAGTGCATATAATCAATCCGAATAAATTAAGAGAAGTCATACATAAATATAAAATAGAGCAACAAAGTGAGTAATTAATAAAACAAACGAAGATAAAATACAAAATAGAAGATGAAATAAACAAAATGCTATAAATCTAACTTAAAGTAGAAAACAAGGGAGAATTTACAAAACGACGATAGAAAACGAGAGCAACAACAATTAAAAATATGAAGAGACCTACCAACAGTGGAGCTAAGCTTGAATGTGATTCTCCAGAAGTACAAGATATGGTCCCACACAAACCATCGTTACTACAACACTCTCTGGTAGAACATGATGTACCATTAGCTTGCCGTCCGCACCAACATTGACTTTGACAATGTCCAGGAGCACAATATTCTTGTGTGGTTCCACACTTACCATCGTTACTACAACACTCTCCGGTTGAACATGATGTACCATCAGCTTGCCGTCCGCACCAACATTGACTTTGACAATGTCCAGGAGCACAATATTCTTGTGTGGTTCCACACTTACCATCGTTACTACAACACTCTCCGGTTGAACATGATGTACCATCAGCTTGCCGTCCGCACCAACATTGACTTTGACAATGTCCAGGAGCACAATGTTTTGTTGTGTTTCCACACCAACCCCACGTACTACAACACATTCCATTAAGACATTTTACGCCTGGATTTTCCTTTCCACATTGAACACCTTGTTCAAGGCCAAAGATTGGGAGTTCAAAGGGAAGAGATAGCTCATCCTCATCGGCTAACACCAACTTAAGGAGGAACAAAACCAGTAGAGCTAAGTTCATTTTGTTATAGACGAAGGTGAATCAATTGGTTTCATATTTATACCAAAATTATGAGGGAACAATCGATAGCGACTAATATATATATAACTAAAAAGCAACAAATGAGAATAGTATTTCCTTCCGTTTGTTTTTACTTAATCACCATACTAAAAATGCTAATTTAATTTGTGAGTTTCAAACCTTTCACTATTTTCTCTCAAATGAAAATAGGTTGCAGTCTCAAATTTTAATGGAAATATAAAGTGAAAGAATGAAGTCGATCGGAAGAAGAGCTAAACTAAAGTGGAAAACCTAATATGTTTTTGCATTCTCATTCACCTCATCATAACTACTTACTTTATTTTAATGTATTTATCTCAATTTTCATTTTAGTTGATTATATATTTAAAATTTATATAAAATATAATACTGCATATTACAATAGTTAATAATTTAAAATATTTAAAAATAATATAAAAAATTAGGTTGACTTTCCAAATTTTATTGTGCCATATAAATTGGAAGGAAAGAGTAACATACATGAATTAAAAATTACATAAAAATGCTATAAATTATAATAATTAAAATTTAAAATATATTTAAAAAACATATTAAAATTTAATTGAATCTTTAAATTTAATCAATACCTCATAGAAAATAACATATATTGAGCTCACGGAAATTCTGTATATAGTCCTCAATATGTTGAAGTAGGATAACCAATTAACACAGAATAATTAATAAGTGATAAGTACGAGATGATAATACGTGAAACCAAAAGAGAGAAATTAGAACTAAAGCGAATAAAGATCATAAGACCCAAACATGAAATGTGAATCATCATGCCCAAGGAATTTATTAAGAAAAAAAAAGACGAAAGTCTAAAATCAAGTTACCCTTCTATATGTATTTATGGAAAATTATTTTATGAAAAGAGATTTATTTTTTTAAAATTTGGATAAGGCATGATTTTCTCATAAATTGACATTTTAATTATGTTTCATATTTAAATACACATAATTAGATATATCTGTTTAGCATGTATTTGGGATAAAAATATAAAAAAAAAAACTGTATTATCAAAAATTCATTTAAAAATAAATAATTGGCTTCAAATTAGTGATATTCGTATTGTTCCTTGATATATTTGTGGGGATGCAAAAAAAAGTTCAACTTTTAGGGTACATCAATAAGTATTGCACTCTTCTACGTGCTAATAATAATTGAATTCTCATTTTGGATCATTGTTTTAAAAAACTTTTTTCTTATGTATATTCACAGAGGAAGATTCTTCAGGTAAAAAATAAAATGTGTGAAAGTTCCTAAAAGAAATAATTTGTTAACCCAACCTAATAGAAACACGTGACGAAATCCTACGGAGAGACCCGTTTGACCAATTAATTAAACCCAAAATTTAAAAACCAACCCATTTTAAAATAAACCCACCCGAAACCCTTTGACCCAAATTAAAACACCCAGCTCCAAACCAGCTTGCCACCACCAAAACCCCGCCGGAAACACCTCCACGAACCAGACCCATTTCACCATTAGCCATCAGGAATCACCATTGAATCAACCTCCATTTTCCAGCAAACGAAGCCAAAATCGGACCCCAAACCAGTGACCATCGATACCCCTCCGCCTCAAGCCGAGCAGCAAGCAACAACCAAACAAAAGTCCAACCAAAAGTCACCATATCGCCGTAAAGCAGCCGGCGAGCTCGAAACTCGGAGCTCAGGCGAACAGCAACGAAACCCATATCCAGCCAGCAAGCTCAAAGCTCCAACTAAACAACTCTGGCGAAGCTCAAAGCTTCAGCAATTTCCAACAACAGCAACCACCGGCGTGGCTCCAACTCCGATAATCTCTTTCACGTCATTTTTCTTTTCAGATCTTGCCGGTGGGGTTCAAACTCCGGCCATCGTTATTGTTATTTTATGATTTTTAATTACTAATAATTTTTCGGTGAACATTGTTCTTTCTTCCCGTTTTAATTGCTGTTGTTTAGGATCTTGACTTATTTTAGTGTGAGTGTGATTTTCTGTTTATCTATTATATGTAGATCATGCAAGAATATGCATTGTTGCAGGGGAAATGAAATTTATGATAACAACAACATGATGAATTCCCTTTGCATTATCCTAATGTGTTCTCTCACTCAGGCCTTGCAACAAATGAAGACCCAAGACTTTCAAGAATTATCAAAATCGTGTCTCTATTCTAGACTATATGGTAGCCTTTGAAAGTTGTGTTTTTTCTGTGTAAAGGTCATAAGATTTGAAGGATTTAGAGAGACCATTAGCCTTGGCAGGTTCAATTTGTATGGATTTAAGAAGATGTGTGTTTTAATTTGGTTTCGGGTGGATTTTAAATAAAAATGGGTCGATTTTTAAATTTTAGGTCTAATTAATTGTCAAACGGGTCCCTCCGTAGAATTGCGCCACATGTCTTTATTTGGTCTTTCGTTAGAGAGAAGGATAAATACGCTCTAATTTTTGGACGACAGGAACACCAATATCCCAAAAGTATGACGGAGAATATCTGCATACTATTTATAATAGTTCGAGAGTATATTTGTCCCTTTTCCCTTTTTTTAAAGTCAGTTAGAAAAGTATAACTCTAATATAAATGCAGCTGCAGTGAGTTGATGAGAAATAACTTCTCTTTCTA